CCCTGTGCACACAGACACCCCACGCTCAGTTCACAGTAGTGGGCTCCATGGTCCCATCTCTCTCCTGTGTAACCCTCCCTGTGCACACAGACACCTCACGCTCTGTTCCCAGTAGTGGGCTTGCAGCCCTGGAACACCTGCTGTCTCTTCCTCTGGACCTTGACTCCTCCGTCTACCAGGAGCTTTGCTTTTCTCCTCTTCACAGGGCTCCTTCTGCTAGTTGTCACGTGTGAGTCTTCCTTGCTCCTCTTCCTCTCCGTCATGTTGTTGTAGAGTACCTTCTCTTGCTCTGGAAAACATTGAACAGGAAGTCACTCAGTAATAGCAAGTTACGTGGTGTCTCGGTCTCGTAGGGCTGCTGAAACAAAATACCACAAAGTGGGTGGCTTTAAAACACAGAAATCTGGTGCCTCCCAGTTCCGGAGGCTAGAATCCCAAATCAGAGTATCAGTTCTGTGGATCCCTTCTGAGGGTTCTGAGGGAGAAACCGTTCCAGGCTTCTCTGCAGCTTCTTGGGGCTCCTGGCAATTCTAGGAGTTCCTTTGCTGCTTGTAGATGCATCTTCACGTACTGCCTTTCCCCTGAGTGTGACTCTGTCTTTGCTTCTGTTCTCTCCTCTTATATAAGATCCCACTCAGAGGGAATTAGAACTCAACTGCCTGTATGACCTCGTGTTAACTGATCACATCTTCAAAACAGACCCTATATCCCAGCGAGGATAAATTCACTGGTACAGTGATTAGAGCCTCAGCAAACTTTTTGGGTACACAATTCGGCCCATAACACTTGGTAAGCATGCAATTAGCCCTTGTGCAGTTAATGGAAGAGTCTTAGTGGTTGATGGCATCCAGGTAGCCTGAAGGTGAATGGCAATTATTGGCAGTGCTGAGGGCACCTGAGAGCATCCTGCTTTTTGACCTCCTTTTTTCTAGAGTTGTGCTGTCAACTCATACTTCCTTAAGGTATCCCATCTCTAGAGAGATCACTGTCATTGACAAGGGCTTTAGTCTTGTGACTCAAAGTCACACAAATATCTCCCGAGAGCCAAAGCATCAATATCAAACTGAAGCCAAGAAGGAAGTGTGCTAATTTTCTCCCCGCTTGTCGGTGTGGGAGATGTTGCAGATTTTAGACGGAAGAAATCAGAGAGGCATAACTTGAATCTAAAGGATGTGCATGGTACCAAGCAAGCCCCTTCTGAGTTTGAGACCATATTATGGTAAACGACAAGGTTAAAGCTAAGAACCAAGTTCTGCGATCTGTTCAGAGGCTCTGGTCATTTCATTCATTTCAGTGCTCTCCGAAAGAAACCCTGATTTGCTTGGGTTGGGTCATCCCAAGTGTTTTAGAACTATACATGTATATAGTGGATCAAACCCTTCGAATTTATTATTGTTGCTTTTGCTTTAAGGTTAGATATACTGTAGGTGTATTTATACTTAGGTAATTTGGTTTCGTATTATCTTCAATTATTTAAGAGATTTTGACACATAAAATATCTAAAAGATTAGCATTATAATTGAAATTAAAATGTAAAATTGAGCAATTGGTTTTGATGTGATTTTTTACGGGGGTCGGCTCTTTATTAGATGGTTATTGCAGAACTACAGGGGTCTGATGAGGTCAGTGTCAGTGACCTATGGTCAGCCCCAGGAGTTCTGATGTAATTTTTAAGTTGAAAAGGACAGAAAATTGTACAAAGTTTCTATTTAGTATTAGAATATTAAAAGAAAGTTACTATTCACCATATTTATATTCAGCTATTCAAGTCCTTGTGGAGGGTGGAGTTGCAGCAAACTCACTTTCCAGGAGCATTGTGGCAGTGATGTGGGGCTGGCCCTGGGTAATGGTGGCAGCTATCCTCGGTATCATTTAACCTCGGTTGTTGGAGGTTGTCTCTACTCCCCAGCCCTACAGGTGATCCTGTAAACCATCCAATATCCTCTTAAGAATTTCCTTTCTTTCTTAGCTCAGCCACTGATGGACACGTGGCTATGTGGGTATGCGTGGTTTGGGCTTGCCCAGAAGCTACTTTCTCTTCTCCAGGTGATGCTGATCCTGGCCCCACGTGGGAGGACCAACACTGTGCATGAGTCTGAAACACTCGGTGTACCCACTCCATTTCTCTGGTTATGGCGATGACCTCAGGGATCAGCAGGACACCCATGAAGACCCACGAAAGTCAGTCCAGGGCTTTTGTTGGAACATCTGGAAGAGTGAAGCTCTCTTCTGCTAGGCTTAGATCTAGGTGGCTCTAAGTCCAAAGCTACCATAAGAGATCAAGTTGTCTGAAGAGAAAACCATGCCAGAAGAAAGGAGCATCGAGAGAAGAGAAAGCCCACACCCCACAAGACACGTACAAGCCCCAAGAGCTTGCTCTGTCTGAGAACATCTAGGCTAGACACACCATTTCAGGAGCCAATAAATCTACCTCCACCACTTTTTCTTTACTCATTTTGAATTAGGTTTTGTCACCCGCACCCAAAGAATCCTGACACATCAAGATAAAACATGAGTTTTACTTCCTGGAAATGTTACTTTTTCAATTTTATTAAAGTATTACATTGATATTTTCTTGAGTTGATGAAAACCAACCCATTTATTTGCCATCCTGTGTTTGAGAACTGTGTTGTTGTCTTAGTTATCTAGCGCTGCTATAACAGAAATACCATACGTGGGTGGCTTTAACAAATAGAAATTTATTTTCTCACAGTTAGGAGGCTAGAAGTCCAAATTCAGGGTGCTGGCTCTAGGGGAAGGCTCTCTCTCTCTGGCAGCTCTGGGGAAGGTCCTTGTGTCTTCAGCTTCTCTTCCTCGGCTCCTGGGCGATCTTCGTGTGGCATGGCACCTATCTTCCACCATCTCAGCTTGCTTACTTGCATGTTTAATCTCTTTTATATATCAAACGAAATTGATTTAAG